TTTTCAGACTTTCATTCTTCACATTTTAGATTCACATCTAAAAAGAAATGATTGCAGGGCTTCTATCATGGAAAACTGTTTGTTTAATATCACATTTAATTGACAGTGTCTGTGATGTCCATAGACTGTGCATTAAACACATTTCCTCAAATTCTACCTATCAGCCCCGTGTCTTTAAATAAAGTAACGAGTGCCTTCCTGATGTCTCTCATTCCCACAATTAGATCTCACTCCCATCCCAGTTAGTCCTGGAAGATTTGTCTTCCTGCTTCATAAAGGTTATAATGGAGGATTACAGTCATTTAGTCCTGTATGATCTAATCTTAGCCTTGTTATAAGGACTTTATGAATCAATTTTGTATTTTATAATATCTCCTTCCTCTCTGGTCCTCCTCCCAAATTTTCTACCTTATCTCCATTCCTTTCTTCTTGATTATTCCTTTTCCTTCTCCAAGTTGAACTGATTCTGATATTTCTCTTCCAAGTTCACCTTTTGCTTACTATGCTAACTAATCAACATACTCCCTTTCCGTTAAACCCCTCGTGGACAAGTACGAGTAAATCTTCTCTGATGAATATTGTAGATTGTATACTTTTTTAAATAGCTGCTAAGTCAGAGCATACTCCCACCCGGTCCTGTCTGACCTCCTCCACCCACTTTAACCCAACAATGCTGCTGCTGTTATCTCTGCTGTGAATATAGATAGACAATGGGATAATCTTTTTGAGATTGATATTTTGGGATACACAGATATATAGTCTCTGGATATAGTCAAGGTGAAATGCTACTCATTGGGGTGGACTTGATAAATTTTAAGGCCTCCATTTCATAAACCCTGGCTCTTTCAGCATTTGTCCATCCAAACCCATGACCCTGGACTTCGCATATTCCCAGCAGACCTGCATTGTCTTGATTGAGGGATTCTCTTCCCCTCTTCCCTTCAAGCTGATCTAGTATGCTCGTGCAAGCTTATATCTCACTCAAGTGGTATCTCTCCTCCATCTATGAGTATTGCATTTATAGGGGTTGTCTTAATTGCTTCTATATGCAAACTCACACTCCGTTATACTGCAATCTTTCCACATTTTGTAAATATGACTTTGCTGCTGCCTGCTCCATAAACAATGCAGCCATAATTTATTGCAGACCTCATGCATGCCCTGTAGATGTTAATGAATGCTTGTTTCCCTGCCCCCCAGTCATACCCAGTAACTGCTTGTAACAGATTTAAAACTGTTTTACATGGTTGATATAGACTTCCCATGTATATTTGATATTGATATCTTGAACCCCCAGTCGTATGACCACATTTTCCTTATAGCTTTTCCTATATCCTCTAATATATGAGACATTTCTTCCCCTCATCCAGATGTCCCCATCATCTACATATGATGTAGATTGGATGCATGGTTCTAGGTTTGCAAAAATATCGTTATTATATTGAACAAAACAGAGCTGATTGCACTCCCCTGAGGGACACCATTTTCTATTTCTAAGTCTCCTTCACTCATTTCTGTAAAGTCTGTTAACCAGTTATACATTCTTCCTACAATTCCCATTTTATTTAATTTGATAAGTAACCCTTCCCCTAAAGAGTCATATGCCTTTTCAATGTCAAATATACTATAGCCATCAACTAAGGCTTTTCTATTCTTAATGATCACCCAAGGTACTTTACTCTATGTGCAGTAATTTCTCCATCACATCATGACAGGCTGACAACCTTCTAGGTAGTAGACATTCCGCTGTGCCTCTTTAGCCACAGGCGCCGTTCATGTTCATGTCCGAGTCCAACTGAACACTTTGACCAAATTTGAAGAAATTCTCCCAAGATGTGAGATGTAGCATTTACAAGAACAATCATTTAATTGTCAAGTCACAGTGACTTTTGACATCCAAATCCAAATGAGTTCATCTTAAAGTCTAAATGAATATTTTATAACAAATTTGAAGAAATTCCCTCCATGTGTTCTTGAGATGTCGTGTTCAAAAGGGGATGGACAGTTAATCTCAAAACATGATGCCTCCTGCCACTGGCTAGTGCAGGGGAATATAAATACTGACCTTCATTTTCCAGGATTTCTGCAAGAAGTTGAAGCAGTGCATACATCAGTGCTCAGATGCTGCTTCTCAACGCAGGAGATCACCAGAGGACAGCACCAGAGGACAGCACCAGAGGACAGCCAATGTTGAAGACCACCTCATGCAGTGTCGTGTTAAAGGCACATTTAGATTCCAGGGAAATATTAAGTCCAATGATAGAAACTTTAATTTTGGCAGCTCATAAATAGCATTTGAAGTCCTATGGAGACCATTAAAAAAAAGTCTGTGGTGGGATTGTGCAACAATAGACAAGCCCAATAACCCATCTGCAAAGACCACTGAGCTCCAGAAAGTAAGCTGAAATTTAATTAATCAATAATCAGACAAAAAGTGGGAGCTAAATTGTACGTCAGCTGTCTATAGCTTATTCCGTATATAATGATAGTACAGCAAACTGAATTACAAAAAAAAAAAAATTGTCACGTTTGGAATGGAGAAAGGGTTTTGTGGAAACAAGGAAGGCCTTTTAGCAAAATAGAAATCATTTCATCCCATCTGCATGTAGATGCTCCGGTAACTCGTCTTTGTCAGGCTCAATTAATCTCACAGACAGATATTCAGCTGTAATGCTGCAACAGATTTAAAGACTAGCTCATGTTCACACCATATTATCCAAATAGATCATTTTGTTCACAAAACACAGGCTCTCTTGTGGTTCCAAGAGTCTGTAAGAATAGAASAGGAGGTAGAGCATTCAGCTACCAGGCTCCTCTCCTGTGGAACCAGCTCCCACTCTGGGTTCAGGAGACACCATCCCTTAGTTAAGCTGCTATAGGTCTAGACTGCTGGGGGAACTCCCATCATCCACTGAGCACTTCTCCACTTCTCTCTGTCTCTCTGCCCCCCCACACTCATTTATTTGTTTTAATACATGTCAATAACTATGTTTCTTTTTTTCTCCCATAGTCCCTCTCTCTCTCTCTCTCACTGCAGATATCTCTGACCCTGAAACTGCAGGACAACAACTAGTACTATTATTATTATTAACAACAATACTTCAGTAATTAATTATTATATGAATTGTAACTGTCATCAGTAATAATCAATAACTTCTTTACACTGTTATTGTTTAAATTTTAACTTGTCAGATCTGATACCTGATGGTGCACAAGTGTTCCCAGTCTCTCTCACCTCTCTCTCCCTCCCCTCTTTTCCACCCATCTCTCATCTCCTGCCCATTTTTCTCTGCTCACCCGAACCGGTTGAGGCAGATGACCGCCCACATTGAGTCTGGTTCTAGAGGTTTCTCTCTGTTAATGAGGGAGTTTTTCCTCCACAGTCACCAAAGTGCTGCTCATTGTGGGAACTGTTGGGTTTCTCTATGTAAAGTGCCTTGAGATAATGTATATTTGATTTGGTGCTATACAAATATAATTGAATTTTCGCTCAGTAGGCCCAATAGTTGGCCCAATGCAAAAGTTGGTCATTTATTTATAATGTTAAAAAGCATCTAGCACCTCAAAAGCCCGAAAGACATTTTGCTCAGGGGTTGGTGGTGACCAAAAGAAAGCTAGAAGGCCATATATACAGAGGCAACTAGAGTTTGTCTAGACAGACCACAGCCGGTCTGAAATTTAAAAAAATGAAGTAAATCCAAAGTCTCATGAAAGTGGATTTTCCAGTAGATGAAGAAGGACCAAAGCTGCATTCAGGCTGACAAGAGCACGCTCAAAGATTTTTACTGCTTTACTCAAAATGGACTTCAAAGAAGAACCATCACTGCACAAGTCTGCATTAGAGAGGATGTTTTACTTTGGTTTCTCCTGAGAAATAAGACAATGCAGGAAGTTTGGGTAATTGATTCAAACCATTGAAGGCATATCAGACACCAAAACACCCCACAACATTTTAAAGGAGGGATTTTGACAAGGGTGAACAGTAAAATTTTACCAGTCACCTAATCTACGAGGAATGTTGACTGGCACTGATTTGATTTGTCAAAATAGTACATGGTCTGATGGTTCAGCTCCACTGCTCTGGTGTTACTCTGATTTGCCAACAATACCTTGAAAACAGGTGCTGTTTTTTCTCCAGAGTTGTCAGTCTGAAAGCAGTGTAAGAATTTAACACCACTGCTTGGAACTTGTTCAGCAGCTGATAAAGACTGTCCAAAACATCACAAACTCTTAAAACAAACTGAATCAAATTGACTTATTATATATCCCTTCGTGAAGTTTGTCTTTGCTGGTAAGAAATGACAGTTCTGCCGACTGTCCACAGCCTACAATTAAATGTTCTAAATGTGAAAGTAATATAAAAAGAAGACCCTCAGAGGAACTACTGGTCTAAAAAGCACTGAGTTAAAAAAAGAATAAGAGTGCTGGGCCAATGAGAGGGGACTGTAGTTCTGAAATTGGAGCGATAACATCAACCTCAGAATGCATTTATGGCTCCCAGTTTAGGCTGTGCTGACAAACTGCTTCTCTCCTGCTGAGCCTTCTAACTGCAAGGTAGGTAACCAGTTAGCATAAATGCAGCTCACTAGAGGGGAGAGAGTGTTTGTATGGCTCTTAAGTAACAATACATAATCATTTTACTTCCATAATAAATAAAAAAAGGAATAATACCAAAAAAGCTTGGTCTTACTCAATGCAGAATAATACAAGTGAAAACATTTACAAAGATGTGCAGTAAAATAAAACTGTGTGTGGAAATTAAAATGTTTTTCAATTGGAAGGAGCAGCTTTGCTCAGAGAAAGACCAAAGGTGGGCGAGAGTTTAAATATAGCAACTGTTGTGTGTCTGGCTGCTGTGCGGCAGAACAGATCGAGCTACTAACAACAGCTAAATAGTCACTTTGGTCACCAATGTGCTATTCCCGTTTCTGTGGTAATTCATCTTATGTATCTGTATACATTTGTCTTTTTATAAAATATTTTATTCATACAATCATTTCTTTAACTATAGCAACATTACTATTTAATTTTGAGTGGCAAGATATCAGTCGGACATCACCTCATAAGAACAATAGTATATAAACAAAAGCAGAAAAAAAAACTAGTATCCATTTGAGTTTGTCTCTTTTTTTGCTTTTCAGTTCATCCTGTGTCTGTACACCTGTCTGTGACTGTCATTGATGAGCCGATGGGAGTATTGCTGGTCCTGGTGGGGCATGTGATTGGTAGAGCTCTGAGCAGTGGCCTCTGCTGGTAAGCCAGGAGGAGGGCCCTGCGTGGCAGAACAGGCTAGCCATTGGCTGGCACTAGATGACCCTCATGCTGGCCCATTCACAGCTGGCTCTGAGGACACCGCACTCTGGTCTACTCTGGAGGGAAACACAAAGACACAGATATGGACATTAAGGAGACAGAAGGACATAAAAAATTAAAAACATACATTTTAGAGTAACACAATAATATGCTTTACCCTACTACTTTTCTTTGAGTTAAGTAATATACTGGACAATACATATTATAACATTTGAGGGGGTTTCATGATTTAGAGGTACATCCTAGAAGAGCTCAGGATCAACCTCTTAAACAGATCTCACTTACTTGGCTTCCTCTTTGGCTGCCATTCCCTCTAGAGGACCATTGGGAAGCTCTGCAGTGGGCCGACATTTGTCACTGCTTTAAGAAAACAAAGGAGAGTGGAGTCTGTCAATAACTCATCTGGAAATATTGAAACATAACTGAAGTAGATCATGATCAAAAGGAAAGCACTGATAGTATAATGAAAAATTAGGGATTGATAATTGCACTGATGTCTTGAGTCAGTCTAATTTCAGTCCAATATCATTTGATTATGATTTGATTCAAATCTTATTGATTCTTGCAGATTTTGAAAAATAACAATTGTGATGATCAAAACTCTTTTTCTACCCCAGCACAAAATACAGTTCAGTGTTTTTCCACAACATTTGGCTTAATGCGAAAGATGTGAGGGATGTGGAAATATCTTGCTCTACAGATATAATATGTACAACAATTACAGATTTTGTTGTGTAAATATTGCAGATTAATATTCAATATACAGCCAGAGATACTTATTCATTGTTTAATTAACTTCTGAATTTGTAATATTGACTTCTCTGCTGGACACTTTTTTTTTTTTTTTTAATTTGCTTAAAAAAAATCTATGGGGCATGGTATGTTTCAGTTAGGATTTTTTTTTTAAAATAACTTTTTCTTTTACCACAGATAAATAAAAGTTGCTTTTGAATTATGCACATCAAGACAACAAGGTAAGCAACTTGTAATACAGACATCAATATATTTGTGAATGATTTTTTGATGAGCAATGCTGGGATGTTTTTCCTTCGTAAGTTGTACATGTGTTGTGTCTGACCCTGTTTTGGGACAGCAGGCAGCGGCAGAGGTGTTAATGCCTGTTCTCTCCAAATCCACACACTCCACTACTGAGTATTTCTCTGATGAAGCACTCTTCTCTTCATCACTGTAACACACACGTACACACAAAAATACAGGGATATATATTAATACAATAATAAGCAGTTGTTACTAACCATTTACTTTCCCATAGAAAGACACAAAACAGTGAGACGTGAACTGTGATGCATGCTGAACTGACTGATAGAGCACACAGTAAAAGAAAGGATGGTGTTGAAATGGAGTAACTAGAGCAGTATGTAGGAAAAGCATCAAATGTACAGCAAATGGAGAAAGTCAACTGTTTTGGTTGTTGAGCTACATCACTCTTTCTTCTGTGTAGCTACAGAGCCAGCAAACAGCAGGTGGCCATACAAACGGATTTGGACAGATTAGACCAAAATTGATTGTGCCAGCCGTCAGTCTTGCTTTGTCTCAGAGAACCACCAATGATCTTGATGAGGCCTCATTCAAAGCAAAACACTCATGAACACCGAAATACAATCTAACATTTGTGATGATACTTAATCACTCAGCACTTGTCACTTCTGGAAACAAGCTGTCATGCTACATGACAATTATGTGCCCAATTACAAATCTCTGGTAATGGTAACATTCGTGGAACAACTATTTTTCACAACAACAACAACATTCATAATGGTATCATCTTGCTTGATGAGGAGTTGTTTTATTGTGTAGTAACAACAATAATATCCCTCCTTAATGCAGTAGAGTGATTAACATGTTTGAGGTTATTGACATACAGTGTCTCAATTGTAGTTTGCCTAGCAGAGAGAACTAAAAGTACAATTTTAGTAGGTAAACTGAAATTTATATGCAATCAGAAAAAAACATCTCTTAAGAGTAGGCCCTTTTGCCAGTCAACTCAGTTTTCACAACATGTTTGCCCTGAAAGGATCTGTTAGTAAGCTAAATTTCAGCTTGTGTGGCCGAAAAAAGGCCAAAACACAGAAAAATATACGTTTTTAAAAATGTGTGTACATGTTAAGAGGGCCGTAATGACAAGAATTCTTCACAAATGGAAGTAAATGCATCATATACATCAGCACTGCTTGTACAACGTAGGCACCCACCAGTAGTGTGAGACATTAGGGATTCTTAAGCAGTTACACGTCTAATTTTGCATTTTCTTTCTTCTCTATTCTCTTAAGAAGGAAAGCCTGGCTCAGGGTTAGAGCCAATAGTAAGGCAGATGTGGGAGACATATCATAAAAACGAAATAAACTTAATAGTTCAAGCCATTTGAGACCATTAAAAATGCTATTGTCAAGAGGCTGAGGCTAATCCAGAAATATCTTTTGTAGAAAAACATGCAGAATGGAGATAATGAAATAAACAATAAGGAGCTGAAACCAAAGATCGAACTGGGAAAGAAAAGTTGGTGGTTGACGTGACAACAAGACTACATCACGGCTGCAGGCTGATCTCTGATTGGCTGTACATACCGACAAGATTTCAACACTCTGAAGAAGACCACACCCACAACGCACAGCAAGAGAGAGAGGGGAAGCTCAGGTTGTAAGTGTCGCTCAGTTCATCAGACAGTTGTTATTTACACAGACAGACAGACAATATATTGCAGCATCAACAAGAAGACAGAAGGACAGAGGAAGACCACCTTCACAACCTGTTGATTTAGATAAGCAAGTACTTCAACAATTAGTCCTTGGTGGACTGAAATGTGGCTGTGACACATTTGTAGTTTGATAATTTGTGGAAGATGGACCAGGACCATTTAATTGTCTCTTGGTCTCTACTATTTCTCTCCTCTCAGCCCAACTGGGCCCAATGTTGCAATGAGCAGCTGAAGCAGCACATTGACAGTAATCTTCTAACCTAGAAATTGGTTTTACCCACCTGTGTGGTATTTTTGTGCTCAGCTAATTGTACATGATGCACAAGTGGGAGCAGAGGAGAAAATGGTTCCGTTCAAATGAGGCAGAACAAAGTGAGCTGATGGTATTTTGTGATAATTGGATCTTAGATCATGTGCTGGCCATAGACGTCTTAGAATGTTCTATTAAACACCAACCAATGCATGTTTTAAATAGGCCTGGGGCCCATCTACAATCTCTGTGTTATATTTAACACTCCCACTACAGGAATCGTGACTAAGTAATAGTATGAGGGCACTCTCAGAAAACAGATATGACAACACTCATGAGACACACCCTACATGTAGTCATTCTAGGGAAGACACTGTGATGTAAGAGCTTTCCAAAATTCCCCTCTTGGGTTTTTAGAATGCCAGGACAACAACCTTAGCATGGAATCTGCTACAAGTACAGCTATATAGTATTTGTCTCGTGTGGAAGAGTTTGGCGAACCTCTTGAAGACGGCGGTCTCAGTCTTGGCGTCAACAGTAAGGCTGACTGTTTCTTTCATTGAGCCGTTGATGACCGTCTCAGTGATGCTGCGCTGCTCACAGCAGGTGGTTTCCTCCTCTGCTTTAGATCTCCCACAATCCTTAGGTGAGGTGGGGGAGGGAGAAGCCACACTGGTTCCCAACCAGCCATCACAGTCTGGGGGGGAGGGGGGGTTCATAATTGCCCATGGTCAATATTATTTTAGCTGTTTCAACACTTATCAACTCAACACTTTTTGGGTAATTTAGATTTGACACTAAATGATAAGCAAAGAGAAATCACACAAACTAGCAAGTATCAAATTTTCTTTCAAAATGTGTCAAGATGTAAAATGTTTAGCCTGTCACAATGGGTCAGCATCTAAAGTATAAAGTATCTCTTCTTAAGAGTTATGTTCATTCATAGACGTTGGAATGTAGGAGGGCCCCCTCTGTGTGTGTTTGTCTCAAGATCATAATGGTGTACACAAGTCACCCTAGCTGTCAATATGGACATGTATTTGAAGACATCTCACCTTCAGGCTGAATGGGTGCATTGACCCCCAGAGGGTCCATTGCCTCTATGCTGGTTTCCATAGCAACAGGAGAGTTGCATCTCAGTGGGTCTTTTGGACTGAAAAATAAAAAAGGCAATTTCTCTTTAAGAATCGTTATTTCAGATTGAACAGCAAACAATGTTCGGCTGTTATTGCTGGCACATTGAAAACAAACTGTATTAGAGCCTGTCAGGATGCCCTACCTAACAGGGGTGAAGTTGGAGAAATCAGCCCAGCCAGTTTCAGAGCTGGAGGTGGGAGCAGGAGAGGTGCTCCATGCTGCCCCAGGAAGGACTTCAGTTGTAGGGGAGGAGGAGGACAAAGGACAGGAGGCAGCAGGGTCACTGGGGCTGGAGGCTGGAGCTGTGGATGTACCTGTGTCCATGGGGATGTCATCGAAGTTGGCTGTCCACACTGGCCCTAATTTAAAAAAATATAGAACATAGATAAAATTAGTCATTAGAAGTAAGGTCTTGATAAAAAAATTGAACCATTTATATTGCTCTTAAAATAGCTAAAATAATTATTACAGAACATTCCCATCAGCACTGAATAAAAACCCCACATATAAAAACAAATCTAGTCAAAGGTAAGTCTGCTAAGTAAACCAACCTGTGTCAACTTCCATTCTGTCATCAGTGATGGGATTGGATGCTTCAAATGGATCTCTCTTCCCATCTTCCTCCTCTGAATCTGTGCTCTCTTCACTGTCTGTGCTGCCTGAACTCCTGAGATGGACACAACAGATAAAGGGCTATTTCTTATTTGTTTGGTTGCAAAGACATTTTTTTAAAGGAGAGGAAGGATGGCCTTGAAGTTGTAAGTCACAACATACATTTATTCAGCACATTACAAGGATGTGTGTGTGTGTGTGTGTGTGTGTGTGTGTGTGTGTGTGTGTGTGTGTGCGAGCGCTCGTGTGGTCAGCTGACCTGGGGCGTCTCTGTGCCTCTGGTGCAAAGGTGACATCTTTTTCATCCCAGATATCTTCCTCATCTGAACCAGCATCTTCAAACTGCTGGATTTTCTCCTTACAGCGAGCCTCAAACAAAGCTATGTTCGCCTGGGGTAACACAAATGCACACACAGGGGTACCCAGTAAAACACTGTGTTATGTACTGTACTTGCACATAAAAACTTGGATCCTACTAAAACATATATCCCTGAGTTGTGAAGCAGATATTAACATGTTAACATCTACATCCTAGCACAACAGTTTCAGAGCAGGCTTCAATCAGAGCCATCTCAATGGAAATTAATTTAAGCCCATTCATGCTTTACTGCATTTCATCATGTGCTTGCTCCTTGTGGTTCAAATGCACATATACAAAATAAATCCTCATTCTACACATCCACCACATATATGTATAAAAACTGTGATATCATGATATGACATATTGACAAATAACATATTTAATCTGTTCCACTTGAATTTAACTTCCTCCTCTCATTCACCGTGACTGCATTTGAATTCAAGATTAATAATCAAAGTACTTACACTTTCATTTGTATTCAGTGAAAAATTGATGTCTGATATTCTATCAAAGGGAATACTGCAATGTTAAAGAGAACAAAGTTTAGTTTAGTTAGGGTCGTTAGGCATCCACATACATGGCTACACAACAAGCAGACAGGCTCTGGCACATAGCTATAATGCTTCGTGTTCCATACTGCAGCAAAAACCTAAACGTATTCTGTCATTTGCCAGGTTCGAGATAACAAAGATAGTTTTTTTACATGCATTTTTTTTGTTGTAAACAATGAAAGCACACAATCACAGAGGGGCTCTAGCAGGAGATAAAGAGCACTTCTACAAGGCCTTTTTTCAATCTTGCTTAGTTTCCCAAAGTCAGGTAGCTTTAATAAAAGCTAAAAGTTTAGCCTAGCTAAGCATAAATTCTGGAAACAGGAAAATTGTTAGCCCAGCTCTTTCAAAGGTAAAATAGACCTGTTCCAACTACAGAATCATAAATAGCAAACCATTATTTTCATTATTGATTAATCTGCAGATGATTACCAATTTTAATTAAACAATGTGAATGTGGGAATGTACTTGGTGGCCAATCGTTTACAGCATTTGTCAAATCTCAAGATCTCATGTTATACTGTAACACTAAAAACTAAACTAAGGCAGTTTACATAGTATGGGTTAGAAGCCATGAAGGAGAGATTATCCAGAGTAACTAAACTATGACAGGGATTAAATTTTTATTATAATTATTACATGTTTTTATCAGCCTGTTTGTTTGTCTGTCTGTCTGGTATTTTGCAGGATTATGTAAAACCTACAGTAGGGGAGTTACAGTGAGGTTATTTGTACCAAATGTTTTTGTAATGGGCCTTTCGATTCGGCACGCACCTGTATACACTGCATGTGCAGACTTCCTGTGTGCAGAACTCAATTTGGAAACAAACCGGATCCTGAATATCATTTACAAAAAAGTCTCCCAAACCAGCCTTACCGAGTTTTGTATCCATTCTCTAATTGTCTTTAGGATTAAACAAACTGAACCATGACCTAACCAATGTAGGTACCGAACTGTGATTTTTCTGTACCGTTACACCCTACTGGATGGATTACAGTGAAACTTGGTGATGATTGGAAGAATGTGATATGGGTCAGGGAACCCGTTAAATTTTGGTGTGGATCCTGATCAGGGGGTGGATACTGGAATTTCAATTCCACTTTCTTTAAAAATTGAGGGATAGGGTAAAAAAAAAAAATTTGTTGACTGAGCTAGTTTAGTTGCTATCCTCTTGCATCCAATTTTTTGTGCTGAGATACACCGAACACACCTGAGGCTGTTTCATCAAATTAATATAGAGCCTGTCATATGACAGGTACAAATCACAATGCAATAACAATAACTCAAGACCAGGTCAGGTAAACAATTAACACATGTGCACACATGAACCCAATATAAACCCAACAATCCTGTTACCATCTGCCAACTGGCCTACCAACCCCAAATTCCTTTAACCACTTTATTATTAAAGGTACAGTGTGTAGAATTTAGTGATATCTAGTGTTGAAATTGCATGTTGCAGCTGAACACCCCTCACCTCACACTCTCCTTCCAAACATGAAAAAGAAACTGTGGTAGACTTTAATTGTCATAAAAACTCAAAAGGTGTTTAGTTTGTCCAGTCTGGACTAATGTAAAAAACATGGCGGCCTCCATAGAGAGGGTCCCCTCGATGTAAATATAAAGTATATAAATATAAAGGGCCTTTTCTGGGCTAAAGAAAACTACAATTCATACAATTTAGATGAAATGAACTAGTGAAAACATCATGAGAATTATTCTACATTAAATTTCTGCCAATAGATCCCTTTCACCTAAATCTTACACACTGGGCCTTTAAGTCCCCACAACTGAAGATTTTAATACAGAAAATATCAAAAATTACCCATTCACCTAATCCCATGGTAATTTCCAGCTTTTGCATTCACACTTATCAAGAATAGGAGTCTTATCAGGTACACCAACACAGCATTTCTGTGAATCATTCACCAATTTTTTAGCAAATATTTCTTTGTAATTTAGTCATTGGGTTTATCACTCATGCATTTGCCTCTATTAAAACTGTGATCAAATATTACCATCTAGAACTGTCAGAGAATTCAAGACAGGAACTAATGTTGGACAGATTTTCTTCTCTTAATCTGATAAAACAAATTAAGTGTTGATGTTTGTTTTGGAGATTTTCTGATCATATCTATGATGCAAGCTATTGCTTAGAACTAGCAGCTACTTCTGAGTGTTAAAGTTTCATGCTTACCATCTTTATAAATAAATGCTATTAATCTCATCATTTGAATCTACTTTTCTTGAAATTCAAAGTTGCAAGAATGAATGCCAAGACTTGCTTATTCCACCCAGACCCTTTTTTGATGATGCTACACTCAAAAGCAAATATATCAAAAAGAAAATGATCTGCTTCACTGTACAAGCTGTTTGTCTAAAATGAGGCACACATTTTAAATAATTTCATACAACAACCCAAAACCTTTACAGATGATTAACACCAAAACCAGCTTGACCTACAAAAGGTACAAAGGGGCAGCACACAACAACAAAAAAAGTTGGATAATTCATTGTAGTAGTCATAAAAATAAAATTAGGTTTATCTTGAACATTAGTTAGTTCAGAAATTGTTTAAGATCTGGCAATGACCATTTTATGCATCAATGTATTGGACTTTTTTCTGCTGCAAGGTGAAAATATAAAATGTATCATTCAAATATATCCTGCATAACATCGAGAGGCCATTCAGATGTTTGACATGACATAATATTAAGACAGAGAATGAAGAACATTTTAATTTTAGAGTAAGTCTACAAACCGACTTTTTTATGTTGTAAGTGCCCTGTCCCTTCAGTGTTACACAGTAATACTTAAGACAGAAAGTCTAGTCATGCAGGATGAGTACTCACTCCACAACATCGTCCTGATCAGCAAACTCTTCATCATTGAAGCCGAACTGCTCAATAAAATTGGACGTCATTTGTTGCATCTGATAATCAGAAAAGGCCTGGCAAAACCCAAGACCAACGATAATGATATAGTCTTGGCTCTACACAAAGCTGGTCATTACTTGCAATACAAATACATAGCAAATA